TTCCCTTGGTCCGGGACTTCCCCCACAGGGATGAGCAGCGCGGGCGTCTGGGGACCCTGCCTCGGGCCGCCGTGGCCCGGTGAGGGCTCGGGAGGAATCAATGGGTTGCCGATGGGTCGGAAGCCGGATGGCGGTCGGGCGGTCGTGAGGGGCTGGGGATTCCCGGGGAGTGTTTCCCATTTTAATGGCCTCGGGTCCCGTTGGGGGTTGGGGGGATGGGCAGGGGCTTTTCCTTGGGTGTGAGATGACCCCTAACCTGCGGGGACCATGTGGTTTCGGGAAGTTGGGGTCGATGTTCGTGCAGAGACTTCCTAGGGCTTAACTTTCGAAGGCGGGTTTTGAGGCACCAAGGAGGCTCTTCCCGTGAGGACCGGGCGCACGCGTCCACCTGGCACACGGGGCTCCTCGTTCGGTTTGTCTGGTTTGTGACCCGCCCCCCCCTTCCTCTCTGAAGTGATTTAGGGGCCACAGAGTTCTTTCTGCACTTGATGGGGGTGAACTTAAGATTAGGTGGAAATCTGCGAGGAAGACTTGGAATAAACTTCATTTGACTCATGTCAACAAAGGGGAGGGGAGAAGAAGCTCTTCACTAAAAATAAACAAAATGAAGCTGCAAATAGAGGCGAACGTTAATGGTGGTTCTGAGTTATTGCCGCTGCTTCAGAGAGAATCAGGATGTTCCTCGATTAGCTTTGTTCATGGAACTTGAGATTTAAGTCATAAAATCGAGTTCGGTAACTTCAACGAGAGAATTGTAATGAGTTTTGAGTTGCAAGCTCGAGGTTTGTTCCCCTGCATCTGTACTTTGAAACGGAAAAGGACGCTCGTTTTTTAACTTTTTAAAGGAAAAGATAGATTTTGAAAGTGACCAAATAGACCATTTTAGGCAATTGAAGAGAGCACTGTAGTAAATCGAGTGGGACTCATCCTTAAAAATTGATTGTTGCCACTGATAGTATTGCATGAGGCTTCTTTTCTGTTTCTGTGGCAGACAGCTATTTAATGTCACCTCAGGGTTTCTCATTTTTTCAGATTGATTCCAGCGGCTGAAAACAGCTGTATGTTCTCTTATCATACAGAATGAGAAACCTGTTGATTTCTGAAGCAACTTGGGCTGCAGCTGCTTTAAAAGGTGTTTGTTTTTCACATTTTCCAAATTATACCTTTATTTTTCTTTCAACAGGAAGGAGTCAAGACTGAGAACAACGATCATATTAATTTGAAGGTGGCGGGGCAGGATGGTTCTGTGGTGCAGTTTAAGATTAAGAGGCATACACCACTTAGTAAACTAATGAAAGCCTATTGTGAACGACAGGTGAGGAACTGACATGAGCACTTTACTGAATAAAACTTATTTAAATTAAAAAAACCTTATTTTCATGAGAATAGAGACTAGACTAGCATAATAAGTAGACTGACTTTGCTAGAATGAATATGCACTTATGTATTTGACATATCAGTTTTATCATACACTTGGACTTGGTATGTTGATTCTTCATGAAAACCCTAGGATGGGTTGGTTAATGTATGACTTGAGTCTAGTCCTGTACCACAAATGCATCAAATTATACTCACAACACGTGGTTTGTTTCCAAGGTGATATAAGAAAATAAGAATGAACATAGTAAAATTTCTTGTCAGGCTCTTTTTTTATCCATTTCAGATACGTCTTATGTCAAACCTATTTTGACCAGTTTGGAAATACAATTAAATGGGAGTTTAATTTTTTAAAAAAAGTGAGTTTAAGGACATTGCAATTTTCCTGAAGTGTGTAAAATTTTAATATTCCCTTGTTACACTAAAAGTGGATGTCAAGAAATTTAATCTGCCCTAGCCGGTTTGGCTCAGTGAATAGTGTGTCGGTCTGCAGACTGAAGAGTCCCAGGTTCGATTCCAGTCAAGGGCACATGCCCCTGTTGCAGGCTCGATCCCCAGTAGGGGGCGTGCAGGAGGCAGCCTATCAGTGATTCTCATTGATGTTTCTAGGTCTCTCTCCCTCTCCCTTCATCTCTGAAATCAATAAAGAAATATATATTTTAAAAAAATTTAACCTGAGCCAAGCATAAACATTTTTATATTCTAAAGACATTTGCATTTTACTTAGATAATAGTAAATAGACATCAAGGAGAGGAAGTAGAAATATATAGATGCTGGGAGGTAAATGTAAGCTGTAAGACAAAGAAGCTTCCCTTTGTGATGAGTCTAACAATACAAAGGCAACTTTAAAAATGACTTTTGCAAGTATAACAAAAACTCGGGTACCTACATAAGTTAAATACAACAGTGACTTCACAGAAGTACTTTTTAAAATTTTTATTTCTTGATTTTAGACAGGAAGTGGTGGGAGAGAGAAACAGATTTGTTGTCCCACTTATAGATGCATTTATTGGTTTGGCGCTTGTATGTTCCCTGACCAGGAATCGAACCCACAACCTTGGCATATCGGTGACACTCTAACCAACAGCTATCCGGCCAGGGCCTCAGTATACTCTTATTTGAAGAATTTTGGTGAAATTCCCCTTTCAGTTAGTGAATATGTACTTATTAATTGTGCTAAAGATTTTTTTTGCACTGGCACCTTTCATATTTGAAAACTAGTTCCCCTTCAGGTTACAGGGGAATTTTTTTTTTTCCAGAGGAAGGGAGAGGGAGAGAGAGATAGAAACATCAATGATGAGAGAGAACCATTGATGGGCTGCCTCCTGCACGCCCCCTACTGGAGATCCAGCCCTCAACCCGGGCATGTGCCCTTGACCGGAATTGAACCTGAGACCCCTCAGTCTGCAGGCCGACGCTCTATCCACTGAGCCAAACCAGCTAGGGCATACAGGGGAATTTTTAAAGCTAATCATTTTGTAGAAGTTTTATGTAGCCAAACCTTATACAGAACAGAAACTCGTGCTTAGATTTGGTGATTTTCAACAAAATTCTCTGTATCTTCAGTTTTCTCTAATTACTACTAAATTTTAGCTTTTTAACATTATTATTGATTTTTAGAAAGAGGAATGGAGAGAGAAATACTGATTTATTGTTCCACTTATTTATGCATTCATTGGTCAATTCGTGTATATTCTCTGACTGGGGATCCAACCTGCATCCTTGGTGTATAGGGACAACATTGTAACCAACTGAGTAATGGTCAGGGCTAAATTTTATTCATTTTTATTTTTTAATTGACTTTAGAGAGCTAGGAAGGGGAGGGCTAGAGAGGTAGAAACATTGCTGAGTTACTGCCTCTAGCATGCTCCCTACTGAGGATCGAACCTGCAACCCCGGGCGTGTGCCCTGACCAGGAATCAAACCTCAACTTCTGGTTCATAGGTCAACACTCAACCACCAAGCCACACCAGGCTGGCTGACTCCCTGCTTTTTAAGTGTGGGTACAGACTCAAAAGACTAAGAATTGGCAGTTGAAAATTCTTGACCAAGGATTTCCTGTAAAGATTAATTGAATGTGCATATTTACTTTGTAATGAACTCACTTGATATCTTGACTCTGGAGTTTCAGTGGATGTATAATGGGCATCTCAAACTGAACATCCAAAAGAGGACTCTTGATTTTACTTCTAGAAATCTTTTTCTCTGGTGTCCCCACTAAGTAAACAGCAATATTCAACATCTAGTTGTGAGGTCAAAACCTTGGGGTCATCATTTATTTTTATTGATTTCAGAGAGGAAGGGACAGGGAGAGATAGAAACATAAATGAGAGAGAATCATTGATCGGCTGCCTCCTGCATGCCCCACACTTGGGATTGAGCCCGAAACCCAGGCATGTGCTTTAACGGGGAATTGAACTGTGACCTCCTGGGTCATAGGTTGATGCTCAACCACTGAGCTATCCCAGCTGGGCCTTAGGGTCATATTTGATGATGCTTCCTAACTCATATAAGCCATCAGCAAATTCTCTTCTCTAACTAAACCTTTGCTGTCCAATACAGTACTCACAAACCACATGTAACTATTTACCACTTGAAATGTGGCTAGTCCAAGTTGAGATGTGCGATAAAGTGCAATATATATAGCAGGTCTGGAAACTCAGTATGAAAAGTAAAGTAGCTTAGTTTTTAAAATGTTGAATACATGTTGAAATGATAGTATTTTGAATTAAAATTTTTTTTTTCTAAAAATATTTTATTGATTTCTTAGAGAGGAAGGGAGAGGGTTAGAGAGTTAGAAACATCGATGAGAGAGAAACACCGATCAGCTGCCTCCTGCACACTCCCTACTGGGGATGTGCCCGCAACCAAGGCACACGCCCTTGACCGGAATGGAACCTGGGACCCTTGAGTCCACAGGCCAACACTCTATCCACTGAGCCAAACCAGTTAGGGCTAAAATATTTTATTAAAATTTTATATTTTTCAAGTGGCAACTAGAAAATTTAAAAATACATATGTGGCTCACATTATATTTCTGTTGGCTATTGCTGAGCCCTCAGCCATTTTATTCCAGTCTTGCTAAGTTATTTCCTTGGAGATGTCTCTGATTAATTCAAAGAGCTTCTTTTCCCGGCATTCAATCCTCATTCAGTTTGATATTTTTCATTGATCGATGTCTATATTTGTCTCTCCACTGAAATGCCAGCTCCATGAGCATAGGGCCTTTTTGATCACTATTTCTCTAGAACCTAGACCAATACCTGGCATATCAAACATGTTATAGAGAGCATTCAATGTAGTATTTCCAGAGGTTGGTTCCTACGTAAGTATTTCATTCACATGTAGAATTAGAGTTTGCCTACTTTATGTCAGCCACATAGTCTTCAGCTAACTAATTGAGAGCATATTTCCCACTGTAGTGTGGATTTATCCTACAGATTATTTCATGGAGTGTCAGGTGGTTTCAGAGGGCACAGGTTTATTGGTTTAGTTCAATTCATTTTTGTGAGATGAGAAAATGGACCCAAAGAGATAAGCTTATACAACTCTTCAGGCACAACTCTAAAGCTCAGGGATGAGATTTATTCAGAAGAGGAGCTCAAGTACTGGTTTAATGTAAATTCCTTGTTTGAATTTACATGGCTTATGGAATCTTAAAGACAAGTTTTCTGAATTTTGGACTTTTGCTCTATAGCAGAATCTTTTATTGATAAAGAAAAGCATATAGCCTTAGCCAGTTTGGTTTAGTAGATAGTGTTGGCCTGTGGACTGAAGGGTCCTGGGCACATACCTGGTTTGTGGGCTTAATCCCCAGTGGGGGGGCATGCAGGAGGCAGCCAATCAGTGATTCTCATCTTTGATGTTTCTATCTCTCCCGGTCCCTTCCTCTCTGAAATCAATGAAAATATATTTAACCCTTTGAGTGCCAACCAATATCCTAGGAACTATGCTAAAATTGCTAAGGCATTTTTGCTGATTTTACAGCAGTTTAGGAAAAAAATTATGAATCGCAAGTAAATGAAGTTACATATTCAAAAACTTAAGGAAACCTTTACTACATTTGTTTTCATCTTTGACATATATTGTTTGCTGATTGTAGTATAAAATACTAGTAGAAAAAAAAATTGCAGGAGGGGCTCAATAGCGCTCCCGACACTTTTGGCGAAAGACAGGAGGAGCGCGATTGCACTCCCCGACACTCTAGGGGTTAAGAAAGAAAAAAAAGAAAAGTATATTAACAGGTGGCAATAAAGGAATAGTTCTGGCTGGGTGGTTCAGTTGGTTGAAGTATCTTCCCTTACACCAAAAGGTTTTGGGTTCAGTCCCTGGTCGGGGCACATACGGATGTTTCTCACATTGATGTTTCTGTCTAAAATCAATAAAAATCCTCTGGTGAAGATTAAAAAAAAAAAAAAAGGAATATAGTTTGCTTATTTTCTGTCCCCGATTTCCCCCCCTTTTATTTTGAATGGCTGCACCATTGTCCTTACAACCTTACCCCTGGATGTAGTGAAGGAAGAACCCAGCATATCGAAGGTGCTTAATATTTTGTTGAAGCACAGTCTTCAGTGGAGTGTTTTTAAATATGCAAAATTTGGAAATTAATGCTTGGCATTGAATTCTTGGTTCCTTTTGTAATCGCTAATTAAAACTAAATGTCATGAGGAATTTCACCTACCTGATGGAGGATTGCTTGTATTCAAGACAAGGGCAAGGGCTAGTCTGTAAGTGGTATGTATTTACACTCAGTAAATTGGAGTGTCATCCTGTCCCAGGTTCCATTCCCAGTCTAGGGGCCAGTGGGAGGCAGCCTTATAGATGTTTGTCTCTACCTCTCCTTTTTTTTCCCTTCCTCTCTAAAAAACCCCAAAAGTCAATATAAACATCCTCAGGTGAGGATTTAAAATATATTCATTGAAGTATGGCTTTTGTGTAACAATTATAATTTATAATTTGAGCATGATATTGGAGTGACTTTGTAAGATGCTTTCTAGAAAGCTATCTTTCAAGTTAATATATTTATGCCATACCTCCAAAGATACTTTATTTTTCTATCTTGTCTTCATTTGGCTGCAGTTATCAACAGCTTTGATGCTTTGCTCCTTTCCCCCTTTTCCCACTCCTGTTTCGGGAAGGTAATGCTTGATCTCTTTAACATGCACTGAGGAATATTACTGTGTGCATCGGTTTCTTCAAATTTCCTTTCAGTATCTTATTTAAATGCAGTTTAACTCAAAGTATGATCTATTCAAGGTTGGATTAGCTATGGTCTCAAAAGCAGTGCAGCTTTTTTTAAAAGAAGACCTTTTAAAAACATTTTTCCAAAGAAAATCAAACATAGTTTAAAGAAAGTGAAAGTCACCCCAAATCTTTTTACTCATAGAAACATTGGTAGCAAATGTATTCATGTCTCATTTAACACATTTGTGGCTAAATATGCATATAGTTTTATTATTGTTTGCAGTAAGATGCTTTTAAACTCTCTTATACAGGGTTTGTCAATGAGGCAGATCAGATTCCGATTTGACGGGCAGCCAATCAATGAAACAGACACACCTGCACAGGTAAAAATCTCTGTTAACTAGAAAAATCAATGTTTTTTTGGTAATTTGCTTAACAGCTTTATTTATGAACTTTTAGATGTTGAAATATAGTTCTTTATCACAATTCAAAGCTATGTAAAAGATGATCAAGGGGGAACAGAAAGAAAAAAAAATAGGAATAGATTGAGGAAATGCCACTGGTTTTAAAATATCTGGTTATCACTCAGTAAAACTAATAGGTCATTTAGTTACTTTAACCCATTTCTTTCTTACTGTCATTTTCTTCAGAATGTTTATTGATTTCAGAGAGTAAGAGAGATGGGGAGAAAGATGGAAACATCAATGAGAGAGAATCATTGAATAGACTGCCTCCTGCTTGCCCCACTCTGGGGATCAAGCCCGCAACCTGGACATGTGCCCTGACTGGGAATCGAACTGTGACCTCCTGGTTCATAGGTTGACCTTCAACCACTGAGCCATACCTGCAGGACAACTGCAAGTCTCTTGATAGCTTAGTTTGAGAGTGGGGGCTGTTGACAACAGGTGGCTTTCCAGACCCTCACTACAGAATGTGATGCTGCCCTGGCCCACGTGGCTCAGTGATTAGAGTGTTGGCCCCGTGAAGGGCATGTACATTGGATGCAGGTTCCATCCTGCATCCCCGCCCAGTGTGTGGGAGGCAACCAGTCAATGTAACAGATGTATCTATATCTCTCTCTCCCCCTCTCTCTTTTCTCTCCCTCCCTCCCTCCCTCTTTCTTCCCCCTCCAGTCGCTCCCTCCCTCTCCCCCAACCCCTTCCACTCTAAAAATCAATGGAAAAAAATGTCCTCAGGTGGGGATTAACAACAACAAAAAAAGGTCATGCTGTCTGATCCCTGTATCTCTTTACCTATCAGGGCAGTTGGTCTGTCACATTGTAAGAAGCTCTTTGTTTCTTTTTACCTTTTCAAGTTCCAGTTAAGAATTCCACTTTGAAAATTTAAATTAGAGTCTGTATTTTTGAAATTTTTTATCACGCCATAAAAACCAGAAAGTGATAAATATGGTGTGAGTGAAGCAGCACATCAAGATTGTGGCTTCCTTCATAATCTTCAAAAAAAATTGAATTATCTATGAGTTATACTTGAGAAGATTTTGAATAAATTCCGTTCGTGAGTCTCTAAGAAGCAGTTATAGTCCATAACCACAAGGTGGAGCTGAATTCTCTTTAAATATATATATTTTTATTGATTTCCGAGAGGAAGAGAGAGAGAAACATCAATGATGAGAGAGAATCATTGATCAGCTGCCTCCTGCACGCCCCCCTACTGGGGATTGAGCCTGAAACCTGGGCATGTGCCTTTTACCGAAATTGAACCCCAGGACCCTTCATTCCACAGGCCGACATTCTATCCACTGAACCAAACAGGCTAGGGCGAGCTGAATTCTCTTGATGAAAGAGAAAAAGCTCTTTTATCTTTTAAAAGCATTTAAAGTTTCACTATAAAATTTAAAATGCCAATAGTTTTGTTACAGTAGATAGGCTGAAGACCTGTTTGGATGTGTGTGGGGTTTTTTGTCTTATTTTGTGGTTTTGTTGTGGTTGTGTTTTTTTGTTTTTTTTTTGCATCCCTGGGTGGGCCTGAATTGATGTTTTTAAAAGAATAAAAAGAATTCATTAAGCTAAACTCTGATGATTAGAATGTATTTTCTGTCTCCCTCACCCCCCATCAGAAAATAGTTCTAAGGCTTGTCTACCATGCTAGTTGCAAATACTAAACTGTGAGGAGGATTTATTCAGACCTGCATTACAAAATCTTCAAATGAATTTAGAATTGAATTCATTTTAGAATGAAATTGACTTGTTTTAGAATTGTTTTCCCAATATTAAATAGAAGACTTGTAATAAATCAAAAAATCTTATCAGCCAATTTTAATAGCAGTATAATTATGTGCCCATCATTCTGTTAAATACTTTCTTCAACTCATTTCATTCTCATAACTGAATGCTATGCCTTTTTACAAAAAGGGAATTGAGACGCAGTTATTAATATTTTAATGCCTTAGCTCTACTTTGAGTATATTTGAACTTTGTTAGAAACAGTTCTGTTTCTTGTCTTTAGGTGCTCAAGATTGTTTTATTTTCAAAATTACCAGTTTTTAGAAAGAAATTTTTAAGGGTAATTGTCAGCATCATAAACTGTTACAAAGATTATTTACTTTACAGCAGGGGTGGGGAACATACAGCTGGAGAAATCATTTATTTGGTCTGGCCCTGCCAAGGCATTAGGGGTGAGTCAATTAAATGTTTGACCAAACAGAGCAGGCTAATTTTTAAGTTGATAATTTTATATGGCCTGAGAATGATGTTATAAATATCCAAATGGCCCTTGGCAGAAAAAAGATTCCCCACTCCTGCAGTTTACAGTGTTGCCATATGTACCAAAACCTTCCTATTATCAACATGGTTGTTTTGTGTATAACGTATGGGTAGTAAAACTTGCAAACTTAATTTGTGAATAGCATTTTAAAATTGAAATTAACTTAACAACAACACAAGTTTCTTCTTGCCCGATCCCTTTCCTTACTGCATAGAGGCAACCACTGTTTTGTGCATAGGCAAGGATACATTCATGTGTACACACACACACGCACACACACACTTAAAAACACAAATGTTGCCTAGTTTTTAAATGTTGTTTTTAGTATTCTAGGGGTATTTAGTATTCCAGGGATATTTCTACTTCTGCACATGTAAATTTGCTTATTCTTTAATAACAGTTATGTGGTATTTCATTATGAATGTATAGTATTTCTTTGGGTTTCTGTTGATACTTAGGTTATTTCCAGTCTTGCTCTTCTAAACAACATAGTGAGATCCTTTACATGCATCACTCTTATTTTCAGTGATCGAAGGAGATGATTGAACTCATAGATATGTTCAGTTTTTAACTTAAAAGCTAAGTTCTCTAGTATAATCTTCATTAAAAAAGGAATACCAAGTGAAAAATTACTAAAACCTAAGGCTGGGATGCTAACTAAGTTAGTGTCTTGGATGTCTAAAATAACCAACACTAGAATTGGGTGAAACTTGTGCAGTTTTTCAGGATATTTAGGTCTGATAGTTATAAATTTTAACTATCAATGGCTTTTTTTCCTTTATGCTAGTTGGAAATGGAGGATGAAGATACAATTGATGTGTTCCAGCAGCAGACAGGAGGGGTCTACTAAAAAGGGAACCTGCTACTTTACTCCAGAACTCTGTTCCTCCAGACCAAGAAGACATTCTCAATTAGAAAACTGCAATTTGGTTTCAACACATCTGACTACTACAGTATAGTTTTCTCTATTCTTTCATTTTCCCCTCCCCCATTCTTTTATTGTACATAAAGTAACGGATGTATGTGCACAAGCATTTGCATTTTTTTTTTTAACTAAATGGCCAATGGTATGTTTTGATCTACATCAAATGGAGATGGGATGGGGAAAAAATACTGGTTCTGTGAAAACACCCCCTTTCTCCATTAGTGGCATGCTCATCCAGCTCTTATCTTTATATTCCAGTAAGTTATTTTGCTCTCACTGTTTAACAAAAAAAGAACAACATAAAAATTCTTGCATACCTTGTTTGATTGGAGAATTTTAATGTTTTTCATTTATCATTGTAAAACCAAGGACAATTTTATAACTTTTTTGTACGTAGCTGTTACATGTAGGGCAATCTGTCTTTAAGTAGGGATAAATTACTCTAAAAAAATGAATCCTAGATAGTTTTCCCTTCAAGTCAAGTGTCTTGTTGTTTAAATAAACTTCTTGTTTAAAATGAGCTGTTCTCTTTATTCTGAGGAATATTAAATAAGAAAATTGAAGTTTAGGATACCAATAGACCTGCTAGAAGTAACATTTAAAGGAAGAAATAGAACTTTTTCTTTCTGACAGACTAATGCAAAACAAAGAGTAACAAAGTTATATAAATGACTATCAACAGATGTTCCAGCCTCCTCTTTGTTCAAAAAGCTTAGGTCCAAATATGCAACTTTAGTAGCAAAAAAAAAAATAGGTCATACTATGTGGATTTACTCTCAAGCATTCTTTTCTGTAAACCATTACCTGAGGCCTTAGTAAATGCAGCTAGGAAAAAGGTTCTGGTTTAGCTAACTGCTGATAAGTCACTTAATTCTCTAGCTTTCACTTTGGTGAGTAATCCCTAACCTAAAATAGAATCAAATCTGTTTCTTATTTAAGGATGTTGAAGGACAGAAAATGTTTATCTACATATATTTCTTTTAGCATTAAATATATAGGTCACTACTGTCTTCAAATGTATGGGGAAAGATCACGTCTGTAGAACCAATAAACAGAGTATTTGAGCAGGGGAGATAAAAAAGATGATCTAATTCTAACCCCTGTTTTGGGGTTGAGAAAACTGATCCAGAGGGTTGTCACACAGCCACATGGTTATAGAACTGGGACTAGAGATAGGTTTCCTGCTGCCTGTTTATTCCAATTGAATTCTCTAAAACTGGTTCTCAAGAAACTGAATTCCCACCCCTGCTAACCCACCAATGTGGTCTTGTTGGATCAAGTCTCCATGTAATAATGCCATGTGATTCACTTAATTCACTGTACCTCTTACAGTATGATCTCTTACATTCCCCATGTCCATAGTGAATGAGCTTCCCCAGAAACAGGAATTCTCTAGATTTTTGGCTCTATTCATATGTGTTAATCTTGAATCAATTTTTATTTTGCTACCAACCCATTTTTACAACTTATATTGTGAGATGGTGGGAAGCCTGCCCCCAAGAATTCTTAGAAGGGATCAGTTAAGTACATTTCTCTTGACATACTGATCTAGGTACTATTAAATAGTGGAGTTTTGTGGTGTCCTAAAAACTAAAGTTAAATTGAAATTTAAATCGGAGGACTTTAATGTGGAAGGGGTCTTGAATTGGGTTTTTCAGTTAGAGGAATTAATACTATGAGTTTTTGCCTTGTTGGGAGAAGATAAACTTTAAATTCCTTCATAGTAGAAAAACTTGGTACAATTAAAAGAGCCAGAGAGAAATGTGTGGAAAGGGCACTGTTCAATAATATAGTATGTTGTAGCTTATTGATACTTGGGTCAGTGTATATACCTTATTTGTGTTCTTAAATGGACTTCTTGTTTGTTGCTCTTAACCATTTCACATAAGTTGCTACCAAAACAATTGTATGGAAAAAATTTGTGGAGTACTTTTTAAAAATCACTTTGAAAATAAGTGAAATGGTTTGAGTTGAAAATACTGAAAGTAACCTTTGAATTTTAATTTTTTTGGTTTGGGAGGGGACATTCAAGTGATGGGAGTTATGCTGCCATTTTGGTTAACTGTTACAATTTGGCTAAACTCTTTCCGGCTGCCCTTATATTTAATGAGATTGAATGGAAGATGGGAAGAAATAGTTTGAGGAAAAATGGGAGACGGGTGAAAGTGTGCAATTGGGAATTGTGACAGCAGCAGGTCAGTGGACAGTGGAATCTCAGGATTTGAGGGAGTTTTTCCAAGGTCTTTGTGTATATGTGTGTGTGTGTTGAGGGGGAGGGTGGTGGTGGTGGTGGTGGTGGTGGTGTATAGTATATTGGAGAGGGCCAGCTGTGCTGCTGGGTTATTTTTGAGTTAGGTTATTGCTGCTTTTAAATATGACTAACAGTGATTCTGGATCCTGGTTTTTCATCAGCACGTCTGGGTGAGCTTTTTAAAAATACCAGTGCTTCTGCCCTACCCCCAGAAATGTATTTTCAAAGCATGTGTAATTGAGAAGCAATTCTGGGAGGCATCCTTACAACTCTTGAGTTAATCACCTTATGGTGAAGATTAAATGAGATAAGTTTTAGCTAGAAAATGCCTCCCACATGCTGAACTCTAAAGATATTATTCAGCCCTGACCGGATGGCTCAGTTGGCTTGGAGCTTTGTTCCATACACCGAAAGATTGCAGATTCAATCCCTGGTCGGACTACCTAGATTTCAGGTTCAATCCCAGTTGGGGCTGGAGGCAACTAATTGATGTTTCTCTCACATTGATATTTCCCTTCCTCTCTCTAAAAATCAATAAAAATATATCCTTGGGTGAGGATTAAAATAAAAAGTTGTTATATTCAGTGTGAAGTAAGGGCTCTGCCATAGAATGCTGAGGCTTCAACTGAATACCTAAATCTCTACCAGTTGGCCTGCACTTAATGTAAATGAGAAATCAGAGACCCGGCCAAGAACTTTCTATTTATTAAAAAAAAAAACTGAATTTGACCTTTGTCTCTTGTCTCATTAGGTTTTTTTTTTCTTTTTTTTTTTCTTTTTAAATATATTCCATTGACTTCCTACAGAGAGGAAAGGAGAGGGGCAGAGAGCCAGAAACATCGATAAGAGAGAAACACCGATCAGCTGCCTCCTGCACACCCCCCACTGGGGATGTGCTCACAACCAAGGCACATGCCCCTGACCGGAATCGAACCCGGGACCCCTCAGTCTGCAGGCCGACGCTCCATCCACTGAGCCAAACCGGTCAGGGCTCGTTAGGTTTTTTTAATAAATGCTTAATACTAAATAGTGCCCTAGTGAGTCTTTAAGGAAAAATATTCCTCAGGATATTTTTTAAATCCTCACCCAAGGATATATTGATTTTAGAGAGGGAGGAAGAGAGAGAGGTGAGAGAGGATCATTGATCAGCTGCCTCCTGCACGCTCCCCACTGGGGATCGAGCCTGCAACCTGGGCATGTGTCCTCCCCTGGGAATCAAACTGTGACCTCCTGGTTCATAGGTTAATGCTCAACCACTGAGCCACACCTGCTGGGCTTTTAGCTATTTTTGCTAAGGAGATGAATTCATTTTAGGAGAGCGGGACAGATGGGTTAGGGACGTTTTTGCTTGTTTTATTAAATAGAGAACATGGAACTGAGTAAAGAGGACAAACAGACTACATAATTTTATTTTATTCAGCTCTTAGCCTGAAAAGAGGAAGAAATGGGGAAATATGAGTTATGCTTTCCCTCTATAATTTAGTGATTAAAAAGGACCTGAGAGGTGTATGTCAGACCTTAGTAGAGTGTATGTACCATTTTGTTTACCTTTGAATAAAGAGAAGGCAAGAACATGACCAAGCTATTTTCCATTATTTGAGACCTCTTCGTGCATTTGTTTAATGGCAAATGAGCTTTAAGAGAATTTGGGCTGTCTCAGTGGGCATTGATCTGCCACCCTCTTTTTTGGTGAGGATATGGCTAAGAAAAGAATGGGCAGATGTATACTAAATTTGGCTTTAAGAGTGATGGATGCAGAACTTATGTGTAAATATGTGTGGTTAAGTCATACATAAGTGATACGCTTATGAAGTATCCTGCAATATTGAGGCTGAGAAATAAAGCTTGTTGGAAATACTTGTCAGTGGGCCATTCATTAATTCAGTCATTAAATCAAATTCAAAAGCATGACCAGCATTTGTTTTTAAATAATGAAACAGAAGGGTAGAAAATATTAAGAGTATTATTAAACTGTGGTTGAACATAAGCAGTTGCTATTCTTGTAGGTCTGAAATAGTCAGATATCTGCAGTTTCATATGATTCAACCTAATATGTGTGTATTGATGTCAGTGAAATGCACTGATCAGAAAGATTGGTTCTAACCCAATTTCAGAATCTAGGGAGAGTATCACCCACTCCCTCTGGCATTGTGGAATAAATTGGGGCAGGTTCAACTTCTGGGGGGTTCAGTACACTGCATGGTAGTGGGAAAGCTGATAACATTTAAGGTAAAAACAGGTGCTTGAGAGCTAAGAGTTGCTGTGTTAGTGCATGTTTTTGCTTTTAGTTACTACCTTAACTAAAGTGGTGAGGCACAGGTGGTCGGAAACAACTTCCATCTTATTTTGAGTAGGTTGTGCATTGCATTCTTGAATAACCAGTAGCAAAATTAAAAACCAATGGCATTCCTGTCCATATTAAAGGAAAATTATTAAGACTTCAAACACTTTTCTGACATGTTTTAAATACTAGATTTCTAGCCACCTGATTCAGAACAATAGATTGTGTTCTGAGGAGAATGTTGGGTTTACTCAAACCTGTTGGGTAAGCTGATTTTTACTAACCTTTCTGAACTGAATTACAAATGGATGACTAGTACTTTGAATATAGCAAGGAAGTGGCAGCATGGGACTAAGGTAAATTTAAGAGTACTTAACTGTTTAAAGACATGAAAAGTTATAAAGCATGTGGGCAACTGTTCATTCTTCTCCCCTTTACTGTATTTTAAAAGTAGGTGAAAATGGACATGCACATATAGGGCAGTGGTTTTTTTTTATTTACTAGAGGCCCAGTGCACGAATTTGTGCACGGGTGGGATCCGGCTGGCCCCACCGATCGGGATTGGGGGGCCGACCGGGAGAGGGTCACAGGCGGTTGGCCCCGCCCCCTGGTTGAACTCCTGGTTGAGGGGACAATTTGCATATTAGCCTTTTATTATATAGGATTTATGGCAGTGGTATTTAAAATTGGAACCCTGGGGTTGTACAAAAAGGTAGGTAGACTGCCAAACAGGCTTGCCTAAAATGGCCTCAATCTGATGTCTGTTTTACATAAATTTACTCTTCTTAATAAATCAGAGGAGATTAAAAGGGTTCTCCTGGGATTTATGTTTTATCCTTGAAGCAGAGGTTCTCAGCCCAAGCTATATATGAGAATTACCTGTTTAAGTTCTTAAAGATACCCATGACTGAATCTGACACCCAGAAATTTCAATTTAGTTGATGTTGGATGGGGCCTGGCATTCATTTGTATTTCTTAAAAGCTCATAGGTTATTCTGATGTGTAGCCAGTGTGAGGCACCTCTATGAGAGAGCTTTCATTTCCTAAGAACAACATTCTTAAAATTCCATACCCCATTCTCTAGATGAAACTGAGCTTGAGAGCATCAGTGTACTTAGGAGTGTTATATTGAGAGGGAGCAGACCCAGAATCTAGGCTTTTTGATTGCCAGCCCAGTGCTGTATTACCACAGCAGTCTTCTACTAGACTACAGGGGATGGAGGAAGTAAGGCAAATCAAGTACAAATTCAAAAATGTAGGTTAAAAGAATCCCTAAAGAGTCAGGTACAAACCCCTCATTTCACATACAAAAAATTTCAGGTCATTAGAAAGTATGTGATTATTTTCCAAGTAAGTCAATAAAAATGATTATCACTTTGATGACTTCTTATATGTCAGGCCAAGCAGTTCACATCATTACTTAATTCAGTCCTCAACTCTGTGGAGTCCAGATACTATTTTATCCTTATGAATGAGGAAACGTGCTCAGAAAAGTTAAGAGTTGAGATTAAAACCCAGATTTCTCCTATGAGAGCCTGAGCCAGCAACCACCATACTCCTCTAACTCCTAGTCTGTACTTACATGATTTTTATTTTGTTAGAGAAACATTGATGTGAGAAACATCATCTATCAGCTGCCTCCTGCCCTGACCTGGGATGGAGCCTGTAACCACTCCAACCAATTGAACCACACCAGCCAGGGCAGGAGTTACATGATTTTTGAGGAGGGCTTGCATGCTCACTGGTTAGATCAGGGGTGGGCAAACTTTTTGACTCGAGGGCCACAATGGGTTCTTAAACTGGACCGGAGGGCCGGAACAAAAGCATGGATGGAGTGTTTGTGTGAACTAATATAAATTCAAAGTAAACATCATTACATAAAAGGGTACGGTCTTTTTTTTTTTTTAGTTTTATTCATTTCAAACGGGCCGGATCCGGCCTGCGGGCCGTAGTTTGCCCACGGCTGGGCTGGGCTAGATGGATATGAAAGTGTTTTTTTGTTTTTTAGCTTTTATTACTATTATTATTATTATTATTAAAGTTTTAGAAGTTTAGGCCCAGCCTGTAAGAATGGAAATATTTTAATCCAAACAGGTGGTGTGCTTCGAGTTTTTGTGGTAAGCACAAAAATCCATGCCTTTCTAGAAGAGAAGAACTTATCTCTGGCTTTTCATGAAAGCCCAGAAGCGCGGTTAGCCGATAATATAAACTTCTAACTGGGGGGAGGAGGCTATGCAAAGAGGGAAGTAGTTCAATTTTATGGAAATACTGAACAAGATCTGAATAATACAAACTTCTAACTGACTGGGGGGAGGAGGCTATGCAAAGAGGAAAGTAGTTCAATTTTATGGAAATACTGAACAAGATCTGCCTTGAGGAAACATGCATGCTTTCCTATTATTTTGTAAGCAGTCATTCCTGAGCCCTCCAAGTGTGTCTGCATTTGTTGCAGGGATAGATTTACCCAGACAGGTGGAAGAGTCATGACTTAAGGGTATAAACAGCTGCAGAGCTCTGGAATAGTCTTGATAGCAAAGGATGTGGCCATTCCCAGCCACCAGGCATTAACAGACCTTCAAATCACGACTATAATTTTGGTCTAGTGCATGCACCGCCCTGACAGCTAAATATTAACATTAAAATGTAAAGAATTTCCAGTCGTTTTAAAAGGGATCATCTTGGCGTGCTTTCTGTCGCTGACTCAATGTTGCTGCCTTGGGACTGTCGGGTTTTCACAGGAGATACACAGTAGGTACTCAATAAATGTCAATTTAGAGTAGTCCTTTTCATCCCTTAAGGAGCATGCCCTCACTATCCCACCATAAGTAAGGCAAATAGTGCATGGTAACGACAAATCTGCCCTGCACTGTGGGTTCCGACTTACCGGAGCGAGCTTTCTCCTTTGTCAGGTAACTTTTAAGTGACAGCGAGCTTTACTCGTACCAAGCATGGGGCAGGTTTGTCCTTTGTCCAATCATCTCCGAGATTTGAGGGTGGGGGAGGGGGCACTTCTCCAGACCATCCCTGACCAGGAAGCGGGCGGGCTTAGGTTGAGCCTGGATCACCACAGCCCGTCGTGAAGCAGTACGATGCTTGGCACTCCGGAAAACCAATAGGTACGCAGAGAGCTATTTGAATCGGCCAATGCCGGGAGGGCGGGGGCGGGGTTTACGAGCCCTATAAAAGCAGTGGCCGGCCAAACAGGCGGTGGCAGAGGCTTCTGCAGCGGTCGCCGTTGGTGGGGTGGGGAGCTCCTCTGCGCCCCTCGGGCCGGATCCTTTCAACTCTCTGGTACCGCGCCAGCCTGTCTCACTCCTCGGCGTCATGACGACCACCACCACCTTCAAGGGCGTCGACCCCAACAGCAGGAATAGCTCCAGGTGAGGCGGCGGGTCCGCGCCACGCGGGACTCGGGGTCAGGAGGGCCGCTG